TTGCATTGGCGGTGTTTTTAAGTAAAATTAGAATGGGTTTGAGGAATAAAATATTGTCTACGTTATTTCAGTTAAACGAGAAAAAAATAGGAAAAATAACACACCAGGTTCGCGCGGCGTTAATCAAAGATTTTGTGCCCTATAACATTGGCTTTAATCATTTTTGAACGAAGTAAGGTATGAGTAAAAAAAGCTTTCCGCTGTAGTTAAAGTTGAAAGACTTTCTTGCTAAATTCCAAAATATTTTTATTTTTTTACTACTCGTTTTTTCACTTTAATATCAACTAATCACACAACTGATCTTGCTAAACAACTGCTAACAAATAAAGCGAATCAAGTTTGTGTTGTTACTGACGGTACATACTTGTACGTCCAAAAATCTGCTAATAACCGTTTTCAGCGCAAATCATACAGTATGCACAAAATTGTCGTAGGACCGTTCTTTTCTGATGCCAAAAATAATGACGCTGCTATCATCACACATAGCTTGTTGAATAATTATGATATTCTTAAACGGTTAGAGAAAAATGACGTCATCGTCGTTGACAGAGGATTTAGCGATGTAGTGAAGACGCTGACAAAACTGGGTTTTTCTGTTGCTATCCCAAGTTTTCTGAATGGCAAAAATCAATTTAATATCGCTGAAGTAAATAAGACCAGATGTATTACTAAGTTAAGATCGGTTGTGGAATCAGTCAACGACAAAATCAAACAATGGAAATTTTTTTTATCACATCATTCAAAACAGTACAATCCCCTTTCTTCCCGATTATTTGTTCATTGATAAATCGTTTCAGATCTCCCGCTATTTTGAATATCAAAAAAGGTTCAACAGATATGGGTGCTGAGATGTTAAAACGTTTGCACGATAAAATTCCTTAAAAGAACGAATTATATAATACGAGCCAGCTAAAAGCTCAAAATGGCAAGGTTATGATGCTACTGATTGTGCCTTTCTAGAACTATCAGAAGAACAGTTAAGAGACTTAACTTTTGGTAAGAACGCCTTATCTGTTTGTATGCAACGACGTCCAGCTGCCGCTCTCATTAAGGTATTTCCACTCACGTCAGGCAAAAGCTTATGTTGTCGCACATTTAGAAAAAGAAACATTCTTCGGCCAGTCCCGAGGCTAAATTTTTTTTGTAGAATTACGCGATGAATTGTGAGTTTGTAAGGTGGCGCCATAGTAGCAAAAAGCTCAGCCACAGTACGATCAGCAGATGTTGAACAGAATCTGTTGGTTCTAATGATGCGATTTGTCCAGTTGGACGCCCACTGATAAGCGTTGGAAAGTTTTCTGACTGAAGACATTTTTTCTAAATGTTCGGCAACATAACTTTCGGCGAAATGGGTTTTGCACAGGTCTAGAAGGCCACCATACCGTTGTTTTAAAACCTTTTAAACGTGATATTCGTCGTCAGGAGTCCGAGTTGTACTAGTCCTGTTACTCAACGCTTCATCGGTAGGTGCCGGAGTTCGGTATTTTCGATATTGGTATTTTAGTATGGGGATCGATACTGGTGCATATCTAAATACATTATACTCTCTCCCAGAATAGAAGGGCAGGGTTTTCTATTCACTGTCTTTTCCTTCAACCATTTGAAAACAGAATTCTGCTAGGTCTACTGTGTGTCAAGAAGTATTTTATATTTCATAGATATATGTTTATAAGTCTTACATTATTAGTAGTAACGGGTGACACAAAAGTTTTTTCCGTTTTTTGCTTGCTTCATATCTCAGTCCAGAAGCAGCAATCACGCTTGCTCTTTCTAGAGCAGGTTCTGACCTAAAAAATATATAACAACAGTGAGCACTGACTTGTTGGAAAGAGAGTTTATTTTTGCAAGACACACCCAGTCAATAACCTATTTGTAAAAATCACCTTTAAAAATCAGGCTTGTATATTTTGTTCATTCCACAACTAATGTATCACACATACAGATAGCATAATCACTTGTATTATGATCATCCGTACATTTGATATTACCAATATAATTTTTAGCATCATGTGTTGTTCCGCTTTAGCGATGAGACGGCATGCGAAAGTTTCGCGTTCTTTGTGTATAATACGAAAGCCGTAGTATATATTTCTTTCCTTTTTGCACTGTTAAAAATTTTTACGAAGGACAATGTTCGAATGTGTGGAAATATATCACAGACGTTATATAACGAACTAAAACTCATTAAACGTTTTATAGAGTGGAAATTGCAGTATATAATGCTTTATAGTGTACTGAGTACACTATAAAGCATTATATACACTGCTGCCACACATTTCCACTTTATGAAACGTTTAATGAGTTTTAGCTCGTTATATAACGTCTGTGATATATTTCCACACATTCGAACATTGTCCTTCGTAAAAATTTTTAACAGTGCAAAAAGGAAAGAAATATATACTACGGCTTTCGTATTATACACAAAGGACGCGAAACTTTCGCATGCCGTCTCATCTCTAAAACGCAACAGCACATTTTGGAACACACATTTTGGAACACACAAAAGTGAAATATCACTTTCGTGTATTAGTCGAAAGTGAATCGTCACATTTGATCTCTATAGAAGATAATGGGAACCATTACTAAAAGAAATAAAGCAGAGCAAAAAACGTAGACCGCTCTCTATTCGAGAGGTCACTATTGTAGATTAGGATATATACTTTTAGGAAATAAATAATTTTATAATTAAGATGCACGGAAAGCAGAGTTCAAGCGGAATTTAGATTTCGCTCGTTTATCCAGCATTCGATAGCGAATTGAATGGGGATCACAAATATCACATCCCCATCTTTTAAAACCGTTTCCTCGCTGAGATATCCTCAAAATACTTGGAGCATGTCAAAAACCTTAAAAATCTACGTTTTCAAAAAAGTAATCCTAGGTTTTCGGATTTCGTTTTCGAGTTTTGAGGTTAAATGTTCTTATAAGCTTTATTGAAAAAGAAAAAGTTAGAAAAGATCAGTACAATAATGAGGAGAAGGAGGCGAACCCATTGCATCTTTACATCATTGACTGCGGACAAAGGACAGGACAAGAAATACATATAAAAACAAGTGACAAGGACAACATAAAAGACAAGTACAGACAAAATAAAGACAAAAAATAAAGAGTGCAGATATTACTCCAGATTCAACGCTGAAAACTGAATCTAGAAAAGCAACTTTCAGACTTCTAGAATCGAAAATGGATTTTTCCTGGTGTCTAAAATCGGTACGTATTGAAAGCGTGCATCAAACTTGGCGGAGTTAGAACGAAACTCCCTTCATAAACCACTACGCACTCTCTGGAAGTCCTGTAAAGATCTCTACACTATCATCAGCAGATTCTCTATCATTTCTAATCCATTCTACGTTAGCAGAAGTGACTTTGAAGCAAAACTCGCGAAAATAGGTGCAAAAGGACTTGGCCGTCGTGGAGATGTGTTTAGTAAAAGTCGATTTTTTTCAGTGAAAAGAATTTCGAAAAAAGCTCTTTATTAGTTTGAAGCCGGGCGTCTGGTGAATCCAACTATGCAAAAGTGTTGGCACTAGCTCCTTGGGAAAGCTCGAATATTAATTAATCATTTTCTCTATGATTTTCTTTATTTTCTCATACTATGAATTCATACATTAGTTCCGTCACTTTCGCATTCCACATGAATACGAAAACGAAAGACGCAAGAAAGCGAAAGAAAAACTTTCCGTTGTTCCGGTATCCTTGTTTCGCAGAACAAATATATACGATAGACGAAACAGAAATAAAACTCCATAGTGAATAGTCACATGTTGGACAGCACGAAAAAGAAAGACATAATGATTTCGTTTCATCTCTATTGCAATTACACAACGACCGGTATGGACTGCTGGTGTTGTGAGCTTTCTAGTAGCATTTATCATGAATTTTACAACAAGGATCAGTGTCATTCACAATCATATTACCTTTACTACTTTTACCTCAGTTAAAAGTTGACAAAGAGATGCATTGACGTAGTTACTATAATTTAAACATGACCACTTACGAGCATCCGTAGTCATTATAATTCGACTCGATCGATTACGAACAGTTTGTCCTATAATGATTCTACCAAATTGTATGAAATCGATTTTGTCCATGAGTAAAAGTTAGATTTGTAAGAGATATGATCATACAAAGGAACTTGATGTTAGCCATCTTCAGAGAATTATGAATGAGGAAGCATATTATATTCTTTTCAAAACCGAAAATAGTAGTGATTGTAATCCTGCAACTTATTAATATCTGTCTTCAGAGTTAAAAGAAGAATAGCGTCGGCTACAAAAGATTACTATTACTATCATTTCAATTTTCAAATATTACACAAAAACGAGAAAAAAAACAGGTTTATTAAGGAAATTGGTTTGCTTTCACTGATGAACTAAAGACCAACTAGGCAAATCCATCCGATCCGTTAAGGGATGTCTTCTTCTGTTTGTCGTGGTGAGTCGCGATCGTTGTTTTCACTGTCGTATTCTTTTGCTGTTCGATTGGTCGTCGTTAATTCGTTATTTTTCTATTAGTAGGAACTGACTAGGAGCATAAAAGCAAGTGAAAGTAAGTTATTCGGATCTCTAATACAACGCGTTATAGTTTACAAAAACTGCAGATCAATTTGTTGTTGTTGCTGATTTATTTATTATATTTTTTTCTTACAAGAAATGGTGTTTTTGAATTTATGAAAAACAATATGCCATTTTCTAGAAATTGTTAATTTTCCAGATAATGGGCCGGTTTTATGAAAAATCAGGCTATGGCATTTAGAAATTTTTATAGAAAATTCTTAAAGGTATTCTCCTCTCTACAATGGATATTTCAGAAAATTAACTGAATTAACACAACGTCTCAATATGAACGTTCCAAGTTAGATTGAACGACAAATACACTCCTAAATATTAAACTTCTGGAACATTATTTAACGGTTGATTATCGCGAGGACATAGACGAAGTTGGAGGGCAAGCGTTCGTTTTGCGCTAGTAAAAAGTAATCGCTTCACATTTGTTGATATTTATTGGTATAAACCATTTATCACACCAGTTTTTTTTATGTGAACTGGATCTTGATTTAATACATTGATTATTTTTGGAGAATTTGGATTTGCGTAGAGTAAAATAACATCGTCTGCAAATAAATTTATAATATTTTTAAGACCAAGTACTACGTCATCAATATGTATCAAAAATACCGTGTCAAAAAAAATATATTAATAGTGTTCTAAAGTAGGTTTATCTTCTCCTTGGCTGTAAGGAAAAAAGAGGAAAATCATCTTTTCTATGCAAAATATAAGATTATTCGGCAGTGTTATTTGTCTTAAAATATTTATACTGATATACATAGGAGAAATCGCAAAAATTTTGATTTTCTTTTTATCGGCGAGGCAATATCTGGTTCATTGTAACCATCATTTCTCCAATGTTGTTCAACTTTCTGTAAACATTGTTTCATTGTATGTTGATCACCATTTTTCTTTGATACTAGTGTTTTGCAATATGTACAGGATTGATTTTCAAACTGGCATGTTCGTTCATGTGTTTCTAATGATTCATAATCAATTAATTGTTGACAGCCGTTATGATATGAATATGAACAACGAACTTTTAATTTAGATAAAAATGTAAGAAATATTGGTGGACAACGTTTTTCTTCATATAAACAATTTAATGGACAATGTTTTACAGCTGAATCTGGTTGTGATTCTAATCATCTATTTATGCATGATAAGCAATAAGAAGTTTCACATGCACGACAAGCCACTGGTTTCCATAAAACATTTAAACATATGGAACAGAGAAATTCTGGTTGAATATTTTCTACTCGTGATGCATCTAAATATCCAAGCTCAACTGTTGATAGTAGAAAATCTGTTGTTGGTGTTGCCATAGAGCTAAAAGTATATATCGGCAAATATTTTATACCATTTTTCAAGTAACGCAATAGAGTTTTTAATATAACTACTATCGGCGCCAAATATAGTGCGGCTGACTGTTTTTTGAATAACTTTTATAGAAATGAGATAGAGATCTGCGATTTTCGTTATTCAATAGCCAAGACTTGAGCGGAACTTTTCGCAAGCGGAAGCAGCTTTTGAAAAAATTTCAACGATCAGGTTTCCAGAGGATATTGGGAAAACCAGCTCCGTTCTCAGAAAACTAACATACAATGTTGGTAATTCTTTTGCATGCGTAGATAGTTCGGACGTTACTCTACAAAATTATGCAAGCCTTCGCTCTCCAGTTATCTTCGTTCGAACAGAGCTCGCTTTCCCCCGAGCACGTGTCTATTTCCGAGCAGACATCTCTAGGAATCTCGAAATCCCATGGAATATAGGTAATCGACTACGCCGAGCATAGTGGCAACATTTGCTTTTGTGTAAACATAAATATAACTGAGAAAAGTAAATTTCAACCGGGCATTGTTTTAAGGTTTTTCCTTACACTTCAAGTCTCTCCTGAAAGGTTCCTTAACTCAGCATGAGATTTGATCGAGATATAAGGATTTTAATTTTTGATAGTAACAGGCGAAAATCCGTGTATTCACAAAAATGCCTCTGGCGAAGTTATATTTATGTTTACACAAAAGCAAATGTTGCCACTATGCTCAGCGCAGTCGATTACCTATATTCCATGGCATTTCGAGATTCCCAGACATGTCTGCTCGAAGATAGACACGTGCTCGGGGAAAGCGAGCTGTTCGACAAACTAAAGATAATTTAGACGCGTCTCAATCTTATTTAGTATTTTAAACGCATTTAGATGGATTTTTTATATCATCAAATGTCAGAAAAAAATCTAGTATCGCCTGATTCATCTAGATTACTAGATTTTTACTCGATTGCAACTATTGGGTAACGACAGTGAAAATACAGTAATCGGTCGACTGTCAGATTTCTTCTAGTTGTAACTATTAATTTATCGCCCGATAATCGATCGATTTAACTATTGCTGCACACGCACACACATCTAGTTGAAAGTCCCTTTTCCAACTAGTAATCTAGATGGCAGCTAGTCATGTATCGCCCGATTACAGATGAAATGTATCTGGATTTTTCCCATTGGTGATGTTTGCTTGAGTCGATCAGAGAAAAATTCATCACATATGTCGACAATGGCACTATACTGCTGCTTACACCTTTTTTTCTTCATTCACTCATCTGCAGATGTGTAGCGCGTGATCACAGAATGACCTACACCAGCAACATATCAAGATAAAAACATTCAGTTTTCTCATCGTTATCCCCGAATGTGCCTTATGAGAGACGTTGAATTCACAGCATCTTTAAGCAGAGAAGAATGCTACAAAAATTTCTCCTTTGGCTTACTTCATTATAAGCAAATCCATACAACCAAAACTATCAACTGCAAAATTAGAAAATGGTTTAGTGATTAAAAGTATAGAAAATATTTAAAAACAAAAATTCATTTTTGAACTTTATTCAGTTTTAAAATTCAAATATATTGGATTAACATGGAAAATTTTTCTTCTTATTCCAATCAAACACAGGCGCTACGTTCTATCTCATCTATTTAGATTTCTCTGATGGCTTTCTTCGATATATTCTCGAAATTTCTACTAACACATTTAATGAATCATCAGCAAGAATATAGATTTTTAGAATTTTCAACGGCTGTTGAGGAGATGATATTCTCAGTTATCTTGAACACCTATAGTTTTGTTTAAAAAATATTTAAAAAGATTCGAATCAAAAATTTGACCAAACAATGAGGGTTGACGTCAGTATTAATTACTCGTTACGTTTGCGAAGAGTTATAGACGAAAAGTTTGTTCATAATAATTATTTAAACTATGCATTACAATTCTCGAATGCAAGAAACTTTTTATCTACGTATTAACGGATCACAGTCTCCTAAGGTGAAAAAAATAGTTTCTTTACATGTATGGAGCTCACTTATTTTTGAAAGACATTCATGCTGCACTCTCTCAGGGATGTCGAAGTTTCATTAACAAAACTTTCATTAAAAGGAAGTTTGTTAAAACTTTTAATGAAATTCTTGTGCCATCAAAAGCTTCAGGTTACGTTACAGTCATTTTGTAGACGACATTTTAATGAAAGTTCCGGTACTTTCATTAAACAAAAACGCTTTAATAAAAGTCACCCAACCCCTCTCTCAATCAGTGATGTGGTCGCATTTACCTTGCTTTTCTTGATGAATATGTCTGATGTGTAAAGGTTTCGAGCCAATTTATAATATCTAAATTATTTTCTTTTATTTTTCAAACACTTCGGAATAGTCCGTACTTATATGTAAAAAGTATCTTATTAGCCATATACTTGGAAATATCCCTCGTCATGAGTCATGAATGTATTTTTCCTTCTATAGAAACATAACAGAATGAGATGACGATTGCTTCAAAGAGTCATTTTGTTCTGCAAATCAAAAACAGCATCATGTAAATCGGAAAATTCTTGAACCTTTGTATGTTTCGTCGTTCTTCTTCGGTTTCATGCTCACTCCTTTTTTTAATAAATATGTATGTATTAGAGAGAGAAAAGAAAAAAAAAATAACGTTGAATATTTCTTTTAATTAATTGCCTGAATTCAAAATTTACAGACACATAACTCGATGTCTTCCCAAACTCAACAGTTTAAAAGTAGATTTTAAATAAAACGTTGTCGACATGAACACGATTACATGTTTGAGGAAAAAAATAGTGTTACTTTGAGCTGATTGCGCCATGCGTTCCTGGGTGACACTTATCTTCTCTCTCTGGGAACAAATGAGGAAAAGCTTTTGCCTCCAATAGTTTTCTGTAATGAATTAGATAAAGATATTTAGACTTTTATAATTCGCCTCATACTGATGAACTAGCACCAGTAAAGTCTTGTATAACTTGATGAAGAAAGAATCGAGTAACAGGTGCGTCAAAAGGAAAGAAATGTTTATAGTTCGATAACTATACATTGTGTGAACGTGGCAGACGTCTCATTTTGTTTCAAACTGTGCAGGCTATCCGTGGCTAAGACCATTTGCCAAATCGCAACTGGTACATTCTAACCAAAACTGTACATTCTAACCACCACCTTATGTTTGGTTCTATCAATAGCTCTAATTGACACGTTCTAACATAGTACTATGCGTGGAGGTGGCAATACCTCTAATTGATTTTGAGCTTAGAGCGTGCCAATAGCCGTTATTAACATCTTCTAATGATCTACCAGGCTGGAAAGTGGCAATAGCCATGAGTGTCGCCTTCTGAAGCTGGAAATAGCTCCTTGGTGACATCTTTGCAGGTGGCAATAGTTACTCTGATGAAATAATTGTGCACAAAAATGTTCTGTTTTGACTCACCCTAGGAAGCTTTCTCTGATCGAGCCGAAATTCACAGCCATAAGGTTAACGGAAGAAGAAACGCTTTTAGGTATAATCTGTCTGCAACATTCATGGAAAGGAGGGAGGCAGATAAGGCCATTTCCTATTTCCTGCCTACCAATACTTCCTAGGGTGAATCAAAGCAGAACATTTTTTGCACGCAATTATTTGATCATAGCTTGGAGAATAAACATTCGCTTTGATTTTGTTAAAAAGTTTATTCGCATAAGTCCAGAACTGGTTTAGGTACAAAGTAGAGGATGATACATATTGATATGTATGCGAATTTGAGTAGTTAAGGCCATCATATAGGTCAGGTAATCTTCGATTGCAAATTCTCTGTTTTTTCTCGAAAGTTTGAAAAGTCGAACACTAGAGAGAAAAGCACAAACCTATACGGGTACATTTGATAATTTTATCTTTTTCTTAGTTTGTTCGCTAAACAGAAAAAATGTTCTGTGTTGGAGGATGGGAAAAATCTAGATACATTTCATCTGTAATCGGACGATACACGACTAGTTGCCATCTAGATTACTGGCTGGAAAAGAGACTTTTAACTAGATGCATCTGCATGTGTAACTGGCAATACTTAAATCGATCGATTATCGGGTGGCAAATCGATAGTTGGAACTAGAAAAAATCTAGCAATCGCCCGATTACTGTATTTTCACTGTCGTTACCCAATAGTTGTAATCGAGTAAAAATCTAGTAATCTAGATGAATCGGACGACATTAGATTTTTGTTTGACGCTTGGGTCCAACGAGGTCAAGTCAGGTTATGCGGAAATCCAATTTCACCTTTATTTTTTTTGGTAAACTGTGCAGGCGCTCCAAATTCGAACGTCGAGCACTATTTTATTTTCACTTTAAATATGCATCATTCGATAGAGAATTTCATGTTGATTGAGAATATGTTACTTTGAAGTTTTTAGTGTGCGTTATCACCGAGAACAATTCAAAATACTGGAAGGGACTCTCTTTTCGAAAATCCGCGAAAAATAACTTTTTTTAAAAATGGTGTAACTCCGCTCCAAGTGGATTTGGAGCTTCAGAAACCAGCGTCTAAAACTGCATCTAGAAAAGTATATTTGAAAGTTTCAGATAAAATAACTTCTGGGGACGTCACTTTTCACATACACCTTTTGTTTGGCGGTACTGACCTTGCAAGCCACGTGCAGCTTTTCAGTTAAGAGATAGAGACAAGGTTTTTTGAGCCATTCGGTTTGCCGTTCGGTTTAGAACAAAAGTACGAAACGTTTTCCGAAATCGGTTTTCGTTTCTGAGAGAGTATATGTTTTCTGAATTAGGATCGAAAACATCGAATTCTGCCAGTAATTTTCTCTATCAGAACTCATTTCGTATGCAATAAAAATATCATATTCGGAGTTAGCGTCGAAAACCGATTCGAATGATACACTTTTTCATCCTATCCGCTCACTTTTGTTTTTTTCGAATTTTCACGTCGAAAAATTATTGAGATTTTCACCCAAAACTGAAAATCAACGAATAATTTCGAAACATATATCATTCGAATCAGTTTTCGACGATAACTCCGAACAAAGAGCAAGATTAAGTCATTTGTAAAAAGTATTATTCAGTATTTACGGACACGATAGCTGCCAATATTCGGCGAGAAGCGTAAGAGATTCATATTTGTGGACTTATGACAAATGTTTGTGTTCAAGCAACGGCAACAGATGCCTTCGTTCACGGATACAAAGTGTTTATTTGGACAGATTGTCCCAGTTATCGAAGTAAGAAACAACATCAAGAAGCACTCGACAGAATGTACAGTTGGTATGCGACGATGACTGCCGTCAGCAAATGTCTTGAACAATCGCAAACTGGTACTCCAAAATCTGTTCTATACTTTGTCAACGGTTCCAAACCAAGTTGGTGGGTGATGATGATACTACCAAAAAGGCAGCAATCTCGAAGCAAAACGTCTAAAAGGCAAGTCCCAACCCAAAGAAACTGGTTTCAGTGCATTAATATATGCTCAAAGCCGCTAACCGGCATCTCAGTCACATGATTCGATAAGCATGAACTCTTATTTTAGTCAATGTGGGTTAACACAAAAGAGTAGATGAAAGTTATGAAATACGGACAAAAAAAAGAGTATGAAATATTGATTTCAAATATGATAAAACATACTATAAACTTGCTCTAACTTTAATAAAACTTGTTTTGAAAACTGATGAATTATTTTTGCAAAATATTGTGTATATTATCCTTTTCTGAAAACGAGGCGGCCTGACAGAATACTTATCACATTTGAACGAAAAGTGACAGAGACAAGCGGTTTTCACGGTTTGATAGAGAACAGCGGGGGACGTAACCCATGAGGACATTTTCGATACATTTATCGCAATGAGTGCTTGTTTTATCGAGACCGTCACGAAGTTTTTGCAGTTATCGAGATAAATAATTTATCGGACAAAGTAACGTTTTTATTGCCATCATTTTATTATCGCAAGTTATCGATAAATAATCAGTATCGGGGTAATGGGCTATTTTGTCACGATAAAGTAATTATCGCGTTGAATGCAAAAAGTCCTTGACGGCCTCGATAAAACAAGCATTTATCGTGATAAATGTATCGAAAATATCCTCGTAGAACAATTATCGATAACGATATATCGTCTGCAAGGTATTTTTCTGTTCTCTTTTCTAATTGATCTGATTACTTCTTCAAAGATAATTAACCATTAGGTTTCAAAACATTATTCTTTTATCAACCTATGAAAAACACATAGAGTTATGTGGGGTAGAAAGAGTCAGTTCACGAAATTTTCTTTGTAATTTCACTAATTCTCATCCATTTTTAACTGAACGAATTCGATATTAGCCACGTTAGTAGAGACGATAATTACCCACGCACTAGTGCAAACATTTCCTGAAAATTCATGTTGATTTTTCAGATATATTCAACTGAAAGTCGAGTCATTTTGATTGGCTCTTTTTACCACATGCGGTAAAAAGAGTCAGCTCACTTATGTCGTTCTATTATCGATAATTGTTCTACGACGATATTTTCGATACATTTATCGCGATAAGTGCTTGTTTTATCGAGGCCGTCACGGACTTTTTGCATTTATCGTGATAATTACTTTATCGTGACAAAATAGCCTATTACCCTGATATGGATTGTTTATTGATAACTTGCGATAATAAAATGATTTTTCCCATAGGAGATGTTTTCCTTGAGGATTTTTAAACCGAGAAATCGCCGCTGTATCGCCATAAGGACGTTGATCACGGTACATATCGCGATATCTAAATTATTTATCGAGATGAATTCTATCGCGATCTATCAGACGGTTCTGATAGATCGCGATGTCAGTTGTTACCGCGTTATCCGTATGGTTTATCCCGATGCAAAACAATGTTCCCTTCAGTAGCGATAAATATTTATCGATCAACATCGCAATATTGATTCGTATCGCGTTAAATTGTTGAAATATCGGAATAGAAGAAGTAGTTAGATAAATCATAATGCTTTTTTATCGGGATGTATCGCGATATCCTACTGTTTGCCACGATACAGATGAATACCGCGATAAGGCGCACTGGTTTTTTATAGTGTTTTTAAAGTAATCTCAAATCTATCGCGGTATGAGCGCGAATTATCGTGATACTTTTATTAAAGATTAAAATACAGACAGAAAACAAGTCAACTAGATTCACATAAAGTAGGAAAGCGGTAAAAAATGTAACTATTCTCATCGTTTTTTAAGTATGCAAGTTTTTCTACGATGTCATTAATGACATCGTAGAAAAACTTGCATACTTAAAATCAGAAACTCACTTCTTCAGGTTTCAAAGAATTCACCGGAGTTCTTCAACGAGTCTGAAAATTCGAAAAACACATTTCTTTTAGAGTGTATTTTTGAAAAATATTAAAATACAGACAGGAGACACGTTAACTACATCAAAATAAAGTAGAAAAACGGTAAAAAACGCAATTATTCTCATCATTTTTTAAGGATTCATTTTTTATTCATTGTTATTTTTTAAGTTTAAGTGTCTCTTCATACATGGCCTGCTATTCGAATTGAAAAAGTGTCTTTCGTTTTTTCACCTGATGTTCACATGGTTGCATACTTTGTAGTAGAGCAGAATCAGCTTTCTATATTTTTTAATTTTTGAAAAACTGCAAATTAGGTTCCCCCTATTCTATTCAGATACATGGAGTTTTAATTAATAATTGACTGCTAAGTAAGCTCTAGAGATAACTAGTTAATAAATACCTCATTTTGTTGCCCAGATCTTCCTCTCTCTACCATACGATTTGAGCTCATTATCGTTTAAACTCATTAAGCTAGCTAAGACAGAATCAACTGCACTCGAGATTGTCTTTGCCTTCTTTTTATGCATTGGGGGAAAAAGAGACACTTGTGTAAGTTGTGTGGGAGGAAAAGAGACATCACTCCATTGAAATACATTGCAACAGTGGAAAAAGTCAAGCAGGAACAATGATTATGATGACGATAGCCGGACGGCTTGTCACAGATACTTCAAACCCTATCTCAGGATGAAAATTTTCCTGACACAAGCCTAACTTACACGTAATAAACAACTGCATAAAGCTAAACGTACATTTCGTAAAAAAATCGTTAATGAGTTGCAATAAAAAGAAACGTAATTGAATTAAACGTAAAGATCAACAGTTCATTTTAATTCTTCATTTTTGCTTGTCTAATATCGTAATCAGATCTAACAGTGATTCTTGCAGACTTAGTTAAATACCATATGCATCCATCCAATGTATAGACTTTATTTTTAATTAATATCGCCTGAATATCGCCACACATATCAACAATTAATCGTTTGTTATTTCATTATCCGTCTCGGGTATTTCATGCACAAGTATATTCAGTCTTTGATCACACTGTTCCATATCGTTGAAATTCAATTGTAATTTATTTATCTCATTATTATGCTTTGCAACCATTTCTTGAATTTTTATTTAATGTTCTTTGACTCGGTCAAGTATGGACTTTATAAATGATGGGTTGTTCAAAATACTTGTGATGGATATTAGTTAATTTAGAATCTAAGCCAACTGAGTTCGATAGTGATGAATTTTGATCTTGCATATTTTTCTTTTGATTGACAACAATATTCTTACGATCTGTGGAGTACGATACATTAACCCTTTGAGGACGGGTGCACCCGTAGAGCTATTGTTATTTCGATTATTCCCCATTATCTTTGCCGACGTCACTGATCAGTTGGAAGCATTTGCTATCTATCTAGTATTACGTGAAATGGTGGAAATTGTTTTAGCCCTTCCCATTAGAAAGAGTTGGCTATCGTACTTAAAAACATTAGAAATTCGTTTTCAATGTTTATTATCGGCATTATTACCGGATAAAATGTCCCCGAAGGTACATTTTTGTTGCGAATATTCCGGCATTATTCGTGATTTCGGCCCACCAGTTCGTTATTGGTGTATGAGATACGAAGGACGACATTTTTATTTCAAAAAAAAAGCATTAAGAACAGGCAATTTCAAGAACATATCAAAAACGTTAGCAACACGTAATCAGTACAAGCATTGTTTATTGTTAAGCAAATGTAAATTCTTAAAGTTATATAGCGAAACATCATGTGTTAAACAAACAAAATTAAGTAATTGCGATGGTGATGTGAAACAACTTTTATATGAAAAATTTGGCATTGAATGTTTATCATCATCAACAAGAATTCTGGAATGTCAAGTATTAATTCATAATCACGTCTCATATAAACAGAATTCTGTTGTGGTGTATGATGTCATTCAATCACCAAGTTCAATCACCATTACCTGATTATCTCGACATTGATGCACAACATATTCAAGATATTCTCGATACTACGGACCAGTCAAATCTAACAACAGCTGTGCTAACGACCCCGAATGTTACAGATATCGTTAAACAAAAAAGGTCGATTCCTGATGACTATTCGATACCTACTTTACCATCATCTCTTCAAGA